AGGCTATCATTAATTTCATTCAGCTCATTCTAAAAACAATTTCAGTGTACATTTATTTTAATTCCTTATTTGACACTCTTGATATAATTGTCTCTCACTTTGAACAAATTGATATTCCTTGATTTGATATTGAAATAATAATTCCCTGGTCTCAACCTTCTTCCTTGTTTAAATTTTGTAATTTCATTTAGTTATTATGCACCCCATACCCATCCTGTGGGCGATAATGGTAAGGGTTACAGAGGCACATAATGGGTTCAGGAACTGAACCCCCTGCAAATGAAATAATTATATCACAGGAGAGAGGTATATGCAAACAAAAATATATCTCAGCAATAAAATATATTCAAATTACACATAACAGAACATGTTAAATAGATCACGGTGACCAGTTTTATACTCTACTATATGTTATATGAGAGACAATGAGGGGGGTAAATTTGAGGAAGGAAATATATGGCTTACCTTGCGTGGTGGCCGCCAAGCCTGTGAGCATTAGTGTGACCCCGACCATTCTCATGTTGGTTCCTCTTGTTGGAAACGACACCTGTTGTTTCCGCCTTGCTTTGAGAATAATTAAAGTATGTAAGAAGTCGCGGAGTTCAGTTTGCTATCAATTGCTAGGCAAGCAATGCAATAGTCCTCAGTTCGAGTACTGTTGAGGAAACAGTGTTGGTTCTAGATTGGTTTATCTTGGTTTTAGTAGCATCATCATATTTTAACCGATTTGTAAAACCCACAATTGGGTTATAAATATTATCTTCTTGTGTCACTTGATTGGCTACAGGGACTTTAAAGAGCCATGAATGGATTCATAGTTTCAGACCCTTTCGCTGTGTGGGGGATTTTTCCCTGATTGCTTAGTTCTTAATTAAACAGCCTCCGCGTGTGAGAATATCAACACAATAATCTTTAATATCACGATTGGACATGATTTTTGTCATTATCTTCAAACATCTGGTGCTGGACGACGGTGAAAACTAAGCCACTTGCTATCCTGGGCAACCAGGCGAAAAAAACACAACTTTATCTCCAATACGGAAAATGTAATTACATATACTGTAATATCTTATCTCTAGTTCGCTGTTATACTAGTAATTATCAAGTGTGCAGTCGTACAGACTACTGTTCTTCATATATTTGTATTTGTCGTATAATGTACCTGAATATATGTATGAAAGAAAAGCTTGTTACACATTATGAAATTTGTATAATTTACTAAGGTTCTACATTCCTTTGAACCATTAAAATAGTTACTCAAGATTACGGTAGACTTGTGTCTGTGGTCAGAGTAGTTTACTAGTTTACCTCAGAGCTTATGTCGCATTATTTTCATAATACGCAACGCGTAAATTCAAGTAAAAATTGTTTATTACAATTCATGGTACAGTATTTCAATACAACGACAGCATTACTCCAGACATAATGTAAACATCGACAAAAATTCTTCGTATCTATTGACGCTTCTTTGAACGTTGCAGTTCAAAACCTAAAAAAGCCACAAAGACTACTCCTCCGAGCGGGCTGCTAACTACACAACCTTCCAACACGATAGTTGGCGAGCAACTGAGTCCTTGGTCCCCCTCAGACAGCATTTTTACCCTCCCTTCCCCCACTCTCTCTCAACCCCCAACCCCAGTACTCCCCCTCCTCCCTCCTGGCGTGTTGTACACAATCATTGTCCACTTACTGCTAATACTACGGTACACCCTGATGTACACTAGGGGGGGAGTACACAGTGCTTGATGTGTTTACACTTGATTAAAACATGAAGACGACGAAGGTCAGGTCATTGCATATTCGTTGAGGTCCTTACAGAGACGGCATATTCAGTATATGGCATATTCAGTAGAGGTATAGGGAACTCTTCTTTACAGCCTCTCTCTCTCTCTTTCTTCACAAAGTATTAATATTAATAGGATAAAAGAGATCAATATGAGAGTGGTACAAACGGACCAGCTGAAACAGCAGACAACAGTAGCCTACTGTTGTCATCTAAAGCCAGTAGCCTACAAATATTGCATCAGTACAAGCATTTCATTATTGCAACTATACACATTTCAACACAGCAAACATTTCGGCACGACAACATTAAACATTTCAACATGCCAAGAATGGAAACAAAGAATACGAGTACAAATATTAACCTAAAAATAAGATTATGAAGAACAAGGAGAATATAGAAAAGGCCACCTATACAATGTTTTTGTCAACAATTTCTTCATATTTGTGGTATTTTACTGCTGCTATGGCGGTATATTCACTCATAGAATGAGACGCTGTCCAATATAGTCATTATTATAGTTTGTCCACTCACAGGATGAGAGACGGTGTCCAGTACTGCCACTATGGCGGCATTTTCACTCGGGATGAGTGACGCTGACCAATACCTACCCATGCTGGGAATGTTCACTCACAAGATGAGTGATTATAAATTTTATTTATATTGACCAATAAATTAGTCCTCTCAGGTAAAATATTAAATTAAGGAGAGGTAAGAAAAAGAAAGAGTCGTGTTATCACATGCCTTTGTATGTAATGTTAACACATAATACGACGGCTACACAGAGGAGAGTGATTAACACCCGGGAGACTAAGGGTCGCCACACGCCCCTGGAACCACTTAGTACATATCGAACCATCACAAACAGCAAAACGAACAAAGAGAAACAGTGAAGCGAAAACTGAGAAACCATAAAATTAAGACTTTTATCTAATAAATTTGGAAAATTGTGGAAGGCTTGACAAGGAAAATTTATATAATTATGCTAAACGATCTTTCTCGACAGAGTAATAAAACACGTTGGATTTTTACGTGAAAAATAAAAATGCCCAGAATTTAGTATATAATAATTACGATTCGTTATTTAGGTAGAATGGAAAAAAGAGTGCCGGGAAGGGTCAGAGGTCATGTCTTAACATGACTGCCATACTATCACTGTGATGGTTATCTTGAGGTTATCTTGAGATGATTTCGGGACTTAGCGTCCCCGCAGCCTAGTTAACAAAGTTTAAAACTGCGTAAGGAATGTGTTCAAGACTTTGGAGGACCAATAAATATTTTGAGAGTAAGTCAAGAAACGGAGAGCAGGTTATCTTGAGATGATTTCGGGGCTTTTTTAGTGTCCCGCGGCCCGGTCCTCGACCAGGCCTCCACCCCCAGGAAGCAGCCCGTGACAGTTGACTAACACTCAGGTACCTATTTTACTGCTAGGTAACAGGGGCATAGGGTGAAAGAAACTCTGCCCAATGTTTCTCGCCGGCGCCTGGGACCACAGGATCACAAGTCCAGCGTGCTGTCCGCTCGGCCGACCGGCTCCCCTACATGTCTCTCCCCTACATCTTGAAACACTTCCCTCCGTGGGAAGCCTCGCCACCTCATTGCGGCAGGAAACCCCCGACGAACCATAAATGCTCATGATATTAATGGCCCATGACTTACGCTCCCGAGAAACAGGTGAGGGAGCGTAAATATTTGCCGGGCATTCAAGGGTGTCTGAAGGTGCCTGACTCGCGGGACAGGAATGCCCATAGCCAGTTCTCCCGGTTAATGGGGGCTAACTAATGGGTGCGCCATTATCTCTGAAGATTTGTCTCAGCCATCAAGTGTAAAGCACAACCATTATTTATAGAGCAACGTGACTGCCTAAAGCAGAATGCTTGCTGGTGATGCATTGAGGCTCGTGTTCAAGACCCGTATGATCCAAAGTATGTGAGACAAGATCAATATGTGAGACAATACATATATATAGCAATAAGTCTCGTAACACACACACACAAAGAACATTCCCAAGTATAAAAAAACAGTTGCAAATACAGTGCCATTATACCAATAGCTCCGGCGCTCCACCCCCAACACTCAGACACTAATGGTTATGGATTCTGGGCAATGGTGGCAGAGGTGGGGAGAGGGGGGGAGGAGGGAGAGAGGGAAGGAGAGAGTCGGTGAGGGAAGAGAGAGGGAGGAGGGGATAATGGAAGGAGAGGAGAGAGTGGAGAAGAATATTCAACTGGGAAAGCAAGGAAGAGAGAGGTAAATAAGAGAAAATGGAATGAAGATAGAATTAAGGAGAGTGAGAGAAAAAGGAGTGAAGAAAGGTGGAAGATAGAAGAAAAAAAGATAGGGAAAGGAGAACGTGGATGAGGTAGGCCAGAAGAGCACAAATAAGGCACCTTCCCTTTCAATCTCCGCCTTCCCTTCCATTCTCCCCTCACAGTGAAAGGTCAGAGAGCAGCCCGTGTGAGAAGGTCGCCTCATTACCAAAGCTTTCTTACTAAAACGAGAGTCGGATAAACATTCTTCCATTACTGTTGATAATTAGAAGCCTTCAAATGAGCCCCGGGCCAGCGCGGCTTCATGTCATTACCAGACTCATGGTAGCTTTATGTAATATATATATATATATATATATATATATATATATATATATATATATATATATATATATATATATATATATATACACTGAGAGCTTACATTAGTTACATCAGCATCATATGGGACGCCGGCAAACATTAGAATACATTCAGAAACTTTAGTCAGGACTCTTTTTTTCAAGTCACTCAACACACCCTCTAGTAGATCAATACTAGAATATCTTACTAGATACAGAGGTTAGCAATAAGATTAATGTCAGAGTTAATAGGTTTAAGCTATAAGGATAGGTTAAGGGAACTAGTTGGACTCTACAACTCTAAAAGAGGAAAAACAGAGGGAATATGGTCACAAGATACTTGAAACAATTGTCTCCTCCATCAATAACCTAAGACCTCACGTGCACTGCGTGGCACCAATGGCTCAGTCCAGTCGTTAATAGGACGAACTGGAGCATCATGTGGTTTTATATAAATTTATTTATTTATTTATTTATTTATATACAAGAAGGTACATTGGGATTGTGAGGATACATAGCATAGTAATTACATTCTTGTAAAGCCACTAGTACGCGCAGCGTTTCGGGCAGGATAAATAATACCTGCACATTGACCATCAGTGCCAGGTTAAACAATTGGCACTTTAAAGACAGCTGCCAGGTTTAACAACTTTAGCAGTCCCCGTGGCGTAGTGGTAAGACACTTGCATGGTTTTTCGCGGGCGCTTTGGCCCAGGTTCGTATCCTGGCCGGGGAGGATTTACGGGGCCCCAATCCTTAACTGTAGCCTCTGTTTAGCCAACAGTAAAATAGGTACCTGGTTTTACGGGCTATTCATGCCCGTGCCACCTCTTGGGTGGGTTAATCTTTATCAGTCAATCGGTACCTGGTTGTTAAACGATTTGGCGGGTCGTATTCCAGGGAGAATTAAGATTAAGGACTGTACAAGTGGCTGTAGAAGAATGTAAGAACTATTATATATAAATAAATAAATAAATAAATAAATAAATAAATAAATAAATAACTGGCTGAATGCAGGCGATGAGTCACAATAACGTGGCTGAAGTATGTTGACCAGACCACACACTAGAAGTTGAAGGGACGACGACGTTTCGGTCCGTCCTGGACCATTCTCAAGTCGATTCTCAACTGGCTGAACTCTACACAATCACAACAAGCTGCTATTTCACTAAACAAGCATTGAAGGAATAATGTTCTGATTCAAAATCTGTTCTTCAAGCACTTGAAAACTTCTGCAAGATCGACCGCAGGAACTTCATAATATCAATAATAAATAACTTGCTCGCTGCACAGAATAAAGAATTAATTTTTGTGTATGGACACCATCTCACACAAATATAACCCCATCATGATAACACATATACTGCAGTCAAATTAGCATGTAATAAGGCTGAAGTGTAACTAGACCTTGCTAACCAACCACTCAGGTCTGACAGACGAGACATAACTGACGCCCAAGGACCAGGAAGCACCAGTATTAAGAACTATGATTTGATTAGATCCGAAGCCTGTGTACAACAGAAGGTGCCACAGAGAGCGCGACACAGTGGTGGCCAGGATCGACAGGACTGAAGGTCAGGCTCATAACACGGGTTAAACATGTTACCAGGAAGATACAAAAAAAGCGTAAAAGTTTTTTCATTGAGAGCAATATGCGTCTTATGAAACAACGACCATGGTGAACATGTACTAATTACGGGTAAGTGTTGGGGGAGCAGGTTATCATGATATCTGGATCAGCGTGTGACAAGAGAAGAGTGACAATATACCCCTATCACGCTTCTCCATCAGTTAAGTAATTACTACTGAAGTAATTACCACTGTAATTAATAACGACTGCACACTTACAAGACCATAATTAATGACAGGCTTGCTTTGGAGAACAATATTATTCCTGGAGTATACCTGGAGGGTGTTCTGAAAGTTCTTATACTCCTCAATACTGGCTAGGGGGACAGACTTGTCTGGTGATACCTTGGTCCAGCAGGCTGTTGTATGGTGCGGCCCGCAGGCCCATGTATCCACTACAATCCGGTTGGTCCGACACTTCAAAAAAGGAAGAAGCCTAATTTTTTTTAGGAAGTCCACATTTGCTCCGGTAATATTGTTAATGCTTGCTGGGAGAGTGTTGAGCCGCCGAGGACCTCTGATGTTTATTCAGTGTTCTCTGATTGTGTTTA